AATCCAAGTACTTGAAATAAATCAAACTACAAATCAGTAATAGCCAGGAAACATATAAATTTGCTATTCCTGGAAAATTTAGCATTAAAACAAATTGAACCTGCTAAGCAGTTCCCTGTGCCCCCATAATATTTAATACAATAAAACATATCTTTATTAATATTGTTGATTGGAGGGAAAAAAGCGTCCAGAATATATATTGTCTAAACTAAAACAAAACCAATATTTCATTCAGTTCATGTCTGTATTTGATATTTATTTAATGTTAATATATTATTATAAGACATTTTTGCACCATATTATCTGTGAAGTCCACTACTTTTTTTTCATAAATAGTGAAAAATAATTGGCTCTTGACCAAAAGTGAGGGCTCCATGAGGTTAGCAGTCATAGACTGGAATATTGAAACTATTTGAAATCAAACGTCCTTTCTTCCCTACCACAAAACAGTGGAATTCATTGAAATAGCTTTTTAAAAGTGTGAAAAATTTGCTCTGGTTGAACCTAAAAACACAATACAATGAAAATAAATAAAAACTCTATTTGGTAATATCAGTCTCTCATTTTGTTTTTCCTTTGCTTGGAATGTCGGAGGAATCCTTTTTTTACCATTGAAGAGGGAAAGCAGCATGATGCCCTGGAAAGAACACTTTTGATGGAAGGATTCTAATACAGGCTCAGCCACTTACTACCTATGTGACCTTGGGAAAAGTAATTTTCCCTGTGTGGACCTAGGTTTCCTTATTCATCTGTGAAATGAAGGAGATGGACTCGATGATCTTTTCCAGTTTGAAATCTATGATCCACTTTTTTTTTTCCGCAGTGACTTTTCTATGTAGGATGTCTCTGTAGAGGTAGAATTCAGGTGAATTTGAATATTCTGTGTAAATCTGTACAGGAAAACCTGAAGGCTGTATCCCTAGTCACTTCAAAAAATCTTGCACATGCCCTCATGAATATGAATTTAGAATTAGAGGACTTTAGTTTGAATCCCCTGTTCTGAGGCTTGTCTTATAATTCATTTAAGTAGCACTTATGTGCTAAGCACAGGAGACACAAACACAAAATGAAAAATGGTCTTTGCCCTCAAACTGCTTATATTCAACTTGAAGGAATAGAACATTTAACCACACCAAAAATGCAATGTAATTGGAAAAATGAGAGGGCACTAACCACTTAGGAGTATCAGGAAAGACTTCCTATGCAGTGTTTCTTAAAAAAAAAAAAATGTAACAGCCTTGTTACATGCTTGAACCTTTTTTCTTTTTTATTATAAACTTAACAATCAACAAATAGAAATTTTTCACTATGCAAAGAAAAGCAAAAAGAGAATTGCAAATGAAAACTGTGAACTTATGTAAGATACAGTTTTTATCTTTACACAGCTTTTTTTACATTTTTATTTATTTGAATTTAACATGGTTGTGCTAACACTGCTTTATTTGTCTAGGTCCCCTTTGTACTTCCCTCTGTGTTCTTCTTTTTATTTTTGTACTCATTCACTGAGACTCTTTTCTTTCTTGTCTTCCTTTTTCTGATACCACCATCGCTGCCCATTCTAAGTCTTTCCCCCCAAAAAAGAAAAATAAAAGCCTTCTTTTGTAACAAATAAGTATAGTCACACAAAAGAAATTAACACATTGGTTGTGTCTGAAAGTTCATGTCTTGTTCTCTACCTCAAGTGTCTCACTGTGCCAGAAGCTCACATGCCTTCCATAAATCAATCTATACAAATACTTCAGTTTGTTTTTTTAAACTTAAATTAAGTATTTATTATAGTTTTAGCAACACAAAGCAAACCTTAAACATAAAATAATGACATAGGATGATTTTGATAAAAATCATCTGCAGTTTTCACATTTGTATCTTAAATATAATAACCAAAATAAAATCATGATGATAATGATGATAATTAGTGGGTTTGTTTTTGGTGTAAAGTTTCTTAAATCCTGATACAACTGACTTATAATTCTTTTTCAGTCTAATTGATTCTGATGTTTTGGCTTTATAACAGATAACAGCAGAAAACCCTGTTTTACATAAATGAGATTTTACAATTGGTAGCAAAATTTGCATTCCTAGGGAAAATTGTTTTCAACCTATGCCAGAAGGCAAAACTTATTTTCTGGTTCAAATGCCTATTTCTGTGTACTATCCCAAGACAAGTCTGCTTTACATGGAGTAAAACCAAGTGTTTTGTCTTTGTCTATTATAAATGGGTTCCTTTTGTCTTCACATTTAGAAATATCTGGATCTTTAAAATAAAATGAAAATAGCTTTTTAGAATGTCCAGATGATCAACAAGCAGACAATACTTCTGTTCCATTGGCAAGGCAAGTATTTTTTTTCAATGGAAGCACCAAAATATTATTTTAGAAATTTATTACCCATCACTCTAACTTTTTCATGTGGATCAGAAAACAAAATTGAGGTCCTGCTATTGATTAATTTAGAATGTTTCCCCCCTAAGATAACTCTTTTTTTTTCAAAATACCCAGCAAATATGTACATTTTAGAAGAATTTTTTATTAAAAATGAATGATTAATCTTTATTGTTACTACTAAGAAAAACAGCATTTCTTCTTTTAGCTCAAACATCCTTTAAAGTACTTTAGAAAGAAAAAGCTAATGTGTTCTGTGCAGACATGCCCTATGTTCTGCTTCTGCATTGTCACACAGTTTTGCAAAGAGCTTTTCCTTTTTAAAAAATGAACTTTTTAAAGAATTGATTGTTCTCAACAACTTGAAGAATTCTATGTAGCCCTTCCTCATATTTCTTTATACAGGTGATCATATGTGAAACAGTTGTATCCAAGTTGCAAGAGGGGCCAAACTTTTACCCAGTCCTTGTAGACTTGTTTCATTCTGCATCCATTGACCTCTATTGGTTCAAAGTCCAATATATAGTACTTTCACACTGTATTGTTTTTGTTTAAAAACCTCTCAATAATATTGAAAATTTATCTTGATGTGGCATTGCTATCAGTAGGTTTAAAAATTACCAAAACTTCCCTAACATCAGCATGTTCATACAGTCGTCTAATCCAAAACTGTCATTTTGCACATGAGGGAACTGAGTCCCAGGAAGGTTACATGACTTGTCTAATGTCAAACAAGTAGTGCCAGAGGTGGGAGTTGAACCCTGGTCCTTGGACTTCAAAGTTAGTGCTCTTTCCACTGTGATAGTATACACATTTGTAATTGAATGAATGTCTATATCTGGTTCCTTCACACGTTGTATGTTCCATCCAAAATGAACCATAAACTCTTGGTCTTCTTGGCCTTCCTTCTTGCACAGGTTATCTACCCCTCCCCCACCCCCATGTCTTCAGCATACTCACTCCATGGATCTTCTTGCTGAAACCTTTCAGAGAAGTCTTCTCTGATCATTCCCAGGTGAACTTCCTTATTTTTCTTCTAGTACTTTATCTAGACTTTTCCTTTACTCTTGCTACATTTTACTTTGTATTATATTTGCACTTTTTTCCCCTCCCCATTAGGTTGTAAACTTCTTGAGGTCAGTGATTTATCTTTAATCTTTGTACACCCAGGTACAGTGCCTTGACATAATAGATATTTAATAAAATATTAAATGAATTTAATCAAAGCAGGGCAAACCTGCCTATAGGCATTCCTAGAATTTTTCTTTTTCCCATCCAACTTACTGGAATTGATTTACCCTCATATTTCACCTAAGATTGTTGTACTATGTAAAGAAGACCATACTATAGCACAGGCCTGCACAGCCTTTAGAGAGGCAGAATAGCATAACGGATAGAGAATTGGCCTTGAAGTTAGTAATACCTAGGTTCAGGTCCTGACTCTGATACACAGTGACTGTGTGACCCTGGGCCACCTCTAAGTTGCCCCAGGTTACTCTAAAACTATGACTTGTAGAGCAGGTACCAGTCTGCCATAGAAGGAGGAGTTTCTTCCCTGAAAGTTCTCTATACCAGTAAAATCACAAGTCTGGGCCTTTTCCTTTTTGCCCACACTGGCTTCCTCCACCCCACCCTCCCACCTCCCGCACCCTGCAACTCTTAGGAAAGAGCTTTGGGGGAAGTGGCAGTTCTCTCATGACATCTCTCTCTGGTTGGTTTGATAGTGCAGCCATCTTTTCTGCACAGTTTCTTAGAGTTTGTGACAAATGGAAACTGACCACACATACCTTTAGAGTTCAGACATCAACGTCATAATTGTGAGTGTTCCTGAGTTATGCTTGTACCTGCCAGAGAAAACTGTAGGTGGGCTGACTCTTTGGCTTTTTGCCTAAACTTCCTGTGGGTGGCCACCCTATTTAGAGAATTCATACTTTTTTTAGGACCTCCAGTCTGTCCAATAAGTTATAATATATACCACTTTTTCCTAAAAATGAACTTCTGTCTGGGAACATGAGCTCTGTGAAGAAAAGGGGAATAAGAGAGGTCAAGTGAAAGAGACAGGGGATAGTACCTTGCCCAGACCTCCCACTTTTCTTCATACCTTGTAAAATATAATCTCCTTAGCCTGGCATTTAAGGCCTTTGGAAAATTACCCTAATCTACCTTTCCAACCTTTTTTTCATATAACATCCCTCAACATAGTCTACATTCCAGTCAGAATGGACAGCTAATTGACCCCAACACTCAACATGCCATCTCTGCCTCTGGGCATTCAGGTAGGCCTTCCTCACATGAGCATTACCTTCTAATCTCTGCCTTTCAGAATCTTTCTCTTCTTTCTAGGCTCAGCTTGGATGCCACTCCCTCAATGAAGCCTTCCTGATTTCCTAACTGAAAGTCTTTTCTTCCTCAGATTTTCCTAGGATTCTTTGTGTGGCTTTCCCCTTTGTTCTTGTTATTCCTTTAATTTATATTTTACTTACCTATATACATGTCATTCCTCCCAGGAGAATATAAGCTCCTTGAAGATAGAGATGGAAACATTTCTAGCAGTGTAACTCCAGTGTCTAGCACATAGTAGGCTCTTAAATGTTTGTTGAGTTAGATTGAATTGTAACAGTTCTCACTTCAGCAGCACATTGAACTAAAACTGGAATTGTATAGAGAAGATTAACATGTTCCCTGAATAAGGATGAACTGAATTACACTACAGGCTCATGCTTTGTTCTGTAGTTCCATGATTCCTTGGCCTCCATCAGAGCTAAATCAGTAAGCATAAATTCATTAGTGAAGTTGACAAACTATTGATTGATGTGCAATAAGAAAGAGCCACCAAATATAAAAGCTATAATTCCTACCCCTTTGTGTGTGCATTTCGTAACCATAAACCCAGATCATTATCATTGTCTTGACTCCAATATAGGGATCTCAACCCTTCCCAGGACTAAATGATGTCAAATTTAAGCAAGTACTCTTTTTTTTTTTTTTTTTTGGCTAGACAGTGGGGTTAAGTGACTTGCCTAGGGTCACGCAGCTAGTAAGTGTTATGTGTCTAAGGTCAGATTTTGAACTCAGGTCCTCCTGAATCCAGAGCCAGTGCTGTATCCACTGCACTACCTAGCTGCCCCTAGCGAGTACTCTTCAGAGACAATACTCATTTCTACTTGCCTCCCTTTTTGTCTTGCTTTTCTGCAGACCTGGAATGCCTTCTTCCCATTTTTCTACCTGTCCATAGACATTAACTTTCTATAGTAGATTACTCACTATGTGACAGTGACCCAGTATTGGACATTAAATGTAATAAGCAAAGATGGCCTAAGATACTAAAATGTATACCTGTGAAGGTATTAGTTTCACTTGATTATTAAGCAATCCTTCCTCATTCATCTTTTTTCCAGTGTATCTCTGTGAGGCAGTTCAAGCATATTGCTGAGATTCTAAGAAACACTGTTACCTCTGAGTCAACGTGTTTTTCTTGTTCTCTTTACCAGAAAGTGATTTGTTTGACATTAGCATATAGATTACACATCAGTAGTTTGACCACATGTCATACCATTCAAGTGAAATTATTCAACTGAGTACATAGATTTTATGGGAGAAAAAATGCCCTTAGGAGCTGTCATCACTACCGAACTACATGTGGTATTCAGTTAATCTGCTCCTCTATTTCAGTCAGTTTTCTGACTATTATTTCAGTAGATGCTTGAACCATTGCATGGCACCAAGATATCTTTCTAAGATGCGATTGCTCATGTTTTTTACCATGCAAAATGGTTGTTCCATTGAAGAGAAATAAAAGAACCTGGAACCATTTCTGTCTCTTTTTTTGTTTATCAAAAGGCATTTATGTAGTTATTTGTTGATTCATATGTATGAAGTCTTACTAATTCAGTCATCTGATGTTGGGCTTAGATGCATAAAATGTGTATTCAAGTCATAACTGGCATTTACTAGCTATGTGACCTTGCTCAAATTAGTTAATGTCTTTGAGTATCATTTCCTCATCTGTAAAATAGAAAAACTAATACTTGGGCTACCTTCTTCACATGGTTGTAGTGAGGATCAAATGAGACAATGTGTATAAAGTGTTTTGCAAATGAAAAATGCAAAACAAATATGGGCCATTATTATCCAGTGCTTATAAATTACATGATTCTCTTTCTCTGGGTTTTTGCCTATTGGAGGTGGCTCCTCTATTAGTGCAGTTTAGTTAATCAAATAGAAAAATGCACCACAAATGAAGATGAAATTAAAACAGTCATTAAGAAATATTTTGCCCAGTTTTATACCAGTAAAACTGATCATCTAAGGGAAATGAATGAATATTTACAAAAATATAAATTGCTTAGATTAACAGAAAAAGAAATAGAATGTGTAAATAACCCCATCTTAGAAAAAGAAATTGAACAAGCTATAAATGAGCCCCCTAAGAAAAAATCCCCAGGACCAGATAGATTTACCAATGAATTCTACCAAACATTTAAGGAACAGTTAATCCTTTTACTATATAAACTATTAAAAAAAATAGGTAAAGAAGGAGTCTTACCAAATTCCTTTTCTGACACAAATATGGTGTTGATACCTAAACCAGAGAGAGCAAATACAGAGAAAGAAAACTACAGACCAATTTCCTTAATGAATATTGCAAAAAATTTAAATAAAATACTAGCAAGGAGATTACAGCAGTATATCACAAAGATCATACACTATGACAAGGTGGGATTTATGCCAGGAATGCAGAGCTGGTTCAGTATTAGGAAATAAAAAACTATCAGCCTGACTGACCACATTAATTTTAAAAAAAACACCAAAATTCATAATTATATCAATAGATGCAGAAAAAGCTTTTGACAAAATACAACTCCCATTCCTATTAAAAACCCTAGAAAACATAGGAATAAATGGAACCTTTTTAAAAATGATAAGTGGCATCTGCCTAAAACCATCAGCAAGCATTATCTGTAATAGAGATAAACTTGAAGCCTTCCCAGTAAGATCAGGGGTGAAGGAAGGCTACCCATTATTACCACTATTATTCAGTATTATATTAGAAATGCGACTATAGCAATGAGACAAGAAAAAGAAATTAAAGGAATAAAAATAGGCAATGAGGAAATAAAACTATCATTCTGTGTAAATGTTATGATGGTATATTTAGAGATCCCTAGAGAATCAACTAAAAAAACTAGTGGAAACAATTAACAACTTCCACAAAGTTGCAGGATATAAAATAAACCCATAGAAATGATCAGCTTTTCTATATACCATCAATGAAACCCAGCAGCAAGAGATAGAGAAATTCCATTTAAAATAACTTCAAATAACATAAAATACTTGGGAATCTATGTACTAAGACAAACCCAGGGATTATATAAACATAATTACAAAATGCTTTTCATACAAATAAAGACAGATCTAAACAATTGGAGAAATATTATTTGTTCATGGGTAGGCTGAGGCAGTATAATAAAAGTGTCAATTCTACCTAAGTCAGTTTACTTATTCAGTGCCATACCAATCAGACTACCAAAGAATTATTTTATAGAGCTAGAAAAATAATGACAAAATTCATTTGGAAGAACAAAAGGTCATGGGACAGCTAGGTGGTGCAGTGGATAGAGCCCTGGCCCTGGAATCAGGAGGACCTGAGTTCAAATCCGGTCTCAGACACTTGACACTTACTAGCCGTGTGACCCTGAGCAAGTCACTTAACCCCATTGCCTAGCCAAAAAAACAAAAAAACAACAAGAAAAAGGAAGAACAAAAGGTTAAGAATATCAAGGCAATCAAGGGAAAAAAAATGTAAAGGAAGGCAGCTTAGCAGTTTGAGATTTGAAACTACATTACAAAGCAATAATCATTAAAGCAATCTGGTACTGGCTAAGAAATAGAATGGTGGATCTGTGGAGTAAATTAAGTACACAATACACAGTGGTAAATGACCACACTAATCTAGTGTCGATAAACCCAAAGATCCAAACTTTTGGGACAAGAACTCACTATTTGACAAAAATTGCTAGGAAAACTGGAAAGCACTTTGGCAGAAATTAAGCATTGGCCAACATTTCATACCATATACCAAGATAAGATCAACATGGATAAATGATTTAGACATAAAGGGTTTATGCAAGTAAATTAGGGGAGCGAAAAATGTACCTGTCAGATCTACGGATAAGGGAAGAGTTCATGACTAAACAAGAGATAAAGAGGGCCATGAAAAGTAAAATAAATAATTTTGATTTCATGAAATTATGCACAAACAAAATAGATGCAGCCAAAATTAGAAGGAAAACAGAAAACTGGGGGGAAAATTTTATAGTAGGTTTCTCTGATAGAGGCCTCATTTCTCAAATATGTAGAGAACTGGCCCAAATTTATAAAAATAAGAGCCATTCCCCAGATGATAAATGGTCAAAGGATTTGAACAGACAATTTTCAGAAAAAGAAATCAAAGCCGTCAGTGGTCACATGAAAAAATGCTCTACATCACTACTGATTAGAGAAATGCAAATTAAAACAGCTCTGAGAAACTACCTCACACTGTCAGATTGACTAACATGGCAGAAAAGGAAAATGACTTCAGACAAGTGCTGAAGGGGATGTGGAAAAATCGGGACACTAATGCATTGTTGGTGGAATTACGAGCTAGTCCAATCATTCTGGAGAACAATTTGGAGCTCTGCCCAAAGAGCTGTAAAACTATGCACATATCCTTTAACCTAGCAATCGCACTATTAGGTCTGTATCTCAGAAAGATAAAAGGGAAAAGGAGCTATGTACAAAAATATTTATAGCAGCTCTTTTTGTGGTGGCAAAGAACTGGAAATTGAGGGAATGCTCATCAACTGGGGAATGGCTGAACAAGTTATGGTACATGATTGCAATGGAATGCTATTGTGCCATCAGAAATGACAAGGGAAATGGAAAACCTAGGAAGACATATCAACTGGTGCAGAGTGAAGTGAGCAGAACCACAAGAACATTATACACAGTAATAGCAGTATTGTAAGGATGATTAGCTGTGAAAGACTTAGCCTTCTCTGATGAAGACAGTGATCTAAGACAGTTCCAACATCCCTATGATGAAAAATGCTTATCCACCTTCAGAGAGAGAGCTGATGAACTCTGAATGCAGATTGAAGCATACCTTTTAAAACTTTATTTATTTTCCTTGTTTTATTATGTGTGTGTATTTTCTTTTGCAACATGGCTAATGTGGAAATATGTTTTACATGACTGCACATGTATAATCTATATTAAATTGCTTCCCTTCTCCAGGAAGGGGAAGGCGTGGAAGGGAGGGAGAGAATTTGGAACTCAATATTTTAAACAATGACTGTTAAAATTATTTTACAAGTAATTGGGAAATATTTAATGAATAGATAAATATATATTTTTGAAAACGATAGGAATTCAACAGATGGAGAAAGAATGCAGACTTAGGGAAAAACATGAACCAAATGTATGGAGATGGAAAAATAAAAGGTAGGCCATATGATGGGGAGCAGCAAATAATTCAGTTTGGCTGGGACATATATGCTATATGGAAGGAAACAACATGAGAAAAGGCTAGAAAGGTAATGCCGTGGGGGACCTTCAATGTTAGATTAGTGCCATCAATCCATGACCTCTTTTACTTGTGAAGTTGATTTTTTGTGTGTGTGTAAGTAGGAGATATTACATTTATGCCTATTGAATTTCAACTTACTAGATTCAATTCAGTACTTT